CTCACAGTCTCTCCTGCCCGGGCTGGCTTTGAACTGCGATCCTCAGATCTCAGCCTCCTGAGTAGCTAGGATTACAGGCGTGAGCCACCAGCGCCTGGCTTGTACTTTTTATTTTTGTGTGTTGTGGGGCTGGAACTCAGGGCCTGAGCAGTCCCTGAGCTCTTTTGCTCCAGGTTAGCACTGTACCTCTTTGAGGCACAGCCCCACTTCTGGCTTCTTGGTGGTTAACTGGAGGTAAGAGTTTCATGAACTTTCCCAGGTTGGCTTTGAACCATGATCCTCAGATTTCAGCCTTCTGATTGTTAGGATTCAGGCATGAGCCACCGGTGCCTGTCTCCTAACAGCTTTAGATGCAGGACACAGGAGCCCTGGACCTGGGCAGCCTGCAGGCGGTAGGGCAGTGGTGTCCCTCTGGTGCAGCATGCCCAGGGCACACAGGCAGCTGCGCGGGGCCAGCCCTTCAGATCCACTGCCAGGTGTGGTGCAGCCCGAGGCAGGTGGGCAGGCAGGGTGAAGCACATCCCCAGCAGCACCTGGACGTTTTCCAGGGGGGCTGGGCCAGGTCACCTGAGACATCATCCCTGGCACTGTTCTGTGGCCGCACTCTGCGTCTTTAGCCAGCCTGCAGATGGGTCAGTGCAGAGCCTCGGGGGTGCCGGGCTCCGGGTCCTGGCTGCCCTCCATCACATCCACGTGGCTGTATGACTTCCAGGCCTGCATGTTGCAGCTCCTCAGGATGCTCCCCAGCTGCGTCCCGGGGCCCACCTCGAACGTGCTGGGGAATGCGGCGCCCTTCTCCCTCTGGTAAACGGCGTGCATGGTCTGCTCCCACTTCACCGGGGACACCACCTGTTCGCCCAGCAGCTTCCGGATGTGCGTGGGGTGCGTGTACCGGTTCCCGCTGACATTGGAGTACACAGCCACCAGAGGCTTCTTCACGTCAATGGTCTTCAGAACTCGGGCCAGGGGCTCCACAGCGGGCTCCATGAGGCGCGTGTGGAAGGCGCCACTCACTGGCAGCATCTTGGTGCGCCGGAAGTGATACTTAGAGGAGTTCTTCCGGAGAAACTGCAGAGCCTGGGGAAAGGAAGGTGGCTTAAGGCGGGCACCATCAAGGGAAGAATGACACGGGTGAACAGCAAGTTCTCGGCATCCAGACAGCAGACCTGAGGCTGCACAGGGCAGTGTGCTGCTGCTAGCCATGCGCTGCTGCTGTGCTCCACATGATGCATCTCTACACACATGCACGCACACACACAGATGCATGCCTGCACATCCTGATCCTGTGAGTCCTTGAGTGATAACCTCAGTTCACATCTTTTTAGTGGGCCTAGAGTTTGAACCTGGGGCCTTGTGCTTGCCAGGCAAACGCTCCACCCGAGCCACAGCCTGGCCTTTAATTCAGGATCTGGTTCCCACTGAACTGCAGCATCCCTGCAGTCCTCCAGGGAGCTGGCCGTTCACATGCCCCCACTGATGTGACCACAGTAGACATGAGAACGCTGTTCACACGGACACCTGCGGACACGTGACCTGTCACTATGCATGTGCATACATGGTCTGTCCTGGCCCTCAGCCATTCACACCTCTGAACTACTTCCTCATCTCAGAATGGGCTACAACTTCAGCCAGTCCACAGAGCGGCTGGGTCGTGACGCCAGGTGAGGTCTGTGACAACCTCTGACAGTCACCTCAAGTGGGTGTGGCCCCAACGAGAATCCTGTTCTCTGTAGTTACCACGCTGGCTTAAAATATTTTTTTTTTTTGGGTCCAGTCGTGGGGCCTGAACTCTGGGCCTGGGCGCTGTCCCTCAGCTCTTCAGCTCAAGGCTAGCGCTCTACCACTTGAGCTACAGCGCCACTTCTGGCTTTTTTCTTTTTGCTTATGTGGTGCTGAGGAATCGAACCCAAGGCCTCATGCATGCAAGGCAAGCGCTCTACCACTGAGCCACCTTCCCAGCCCTATAATGCATTTTTTTAAATGGGAGTATAATTCACAAAAAATATAATTAGGCATTTTTAGTGTACCAATACTGGGACTTGAACTTAGTTCTCACACTCTCACTTTGCTTGCTTGCACTCAACTGGTGCTCTACCACTGGAGCTGCACCTCCAGCCCAGCTTTTTGCTGGTTAATTGTAGATAAAGAGTTTCACAGATTTGTCTGTCTGGGCTGATAATTTTAACCCCAATCCTCAGCTCTCAGTAGCTAGGATTATAGGCGCGAGCCACCAGCACCTGGCTAAGGATAGATCATTTGATTGCTGAGGCAATTACACATGTAATCCTAGCCATTCAGGAGGCTGAGATCTGAGGACTGAGACTGCATGGGCAGGAAAGTCTGCGAGACTTTTATCTCCAATTATCCACCAGAAAACAAGAAGTGGGGCTGTGGCTTAAAGCAGTAGCACACTAGCCTTGACCACAAAAGCTCAAGGACAGCATCTAGGCCCTGAGTTCAAGTCCCACAACTGACTTCCCACTCCCCCCCAAAATATATATGCATACTCAATGTCTTTGGAGTGCTGATCCAATGTTGATTACTATTTTTATTTTTTTTTTTGTCGGTCGTGGGGCTTGAACTCTGGGCCTGGGCGCTGTCCTTCAGCTCTTCAACTCAAGGCGAGCGTTCTACCACTTGAGCTACAGCGCCACTTCCGGTTTTCTGGTGGTTTATTGGAGATAGGAGTCTCACGGTCTCTCCTGCCCGGGCTGGCTTTGAACCGCGATCCTCAGATCTCAGCCTCCTGAGTAGCTAGGATTACAGGCGTGAGCCACCAGCGCCCGGCTGATTACTATTTTTAATTTAGTGAGCACCAATTAAGCACTTTCCAAGTGTGATGGTCAAGAGGGGGTTGAATGGCAGAATGCACAGGGTGGTGGAGACAGTTAAGCAAGCAGATTTCACTACGTTCCAAAAGAGATTCCTACTGAATCCTTCAGTCTTCAAAGGTATCATGGTACAATCTAGTCCCTGAGATCCAATGTCACTGCCTGACACCCCAGGGGGTCCATTTTCATTGTTGAGAAGGGTCCCTGTTCCCAATGAGTCCAGCAACACCACACCTCTAAAAACAAACACACCCTACCTTCAGAAAATTCCATGGCTCCAGCAAACACAAGGGCTGCAAATTCCCCCACACTGAATCCAGCAGCCGCAACGCAGTTCTCAATGACCTGCGGTGACAGATGCACACATGATGCCACATTATCTGGGGAAGCTCAGGTGCTGGGCTGGCCTGGAAGCTGGTAGGGTGTTCAGCATCGCTGTGAACCAAGTCCCACTGGCTGACGCCCCAGCTAGGAGAGACACAGAGGAAGCACTGACAACCAGAGTCTGACCCTGAGAAATAGCCCTGGTCAGTGCTTACCCTGGACCCAGCTCTGTACTGAGTGCTTTGTAAACATTACAGTCACAATTCTTCTTGCATTGGACATGAGACCAGGAAAGTCCACCAGACAGACTCTTATCTCCAATTAACAGCAAAAAGTCGGAAGTGGAGCTATGGCTCAAGGGAGAGTGCCGGCCAGTCTTAAGCGGAAAAGCTCAAGGTCAGTGCCCAAGTCCTGAATTCAAGCCCTAGTACTGGTACACACATATTAGGGAACTAGTCTAAGAAATCTAGTTTCTCCCCCAAAATACTGTGTGTGTGTGTGTGTGTGTGTGTGTGTGTGTGTGTGTGCCCGTGCTCCAATCCTGGGACTTGAGCTCAAAGGCCTGGGTGCTGCTTTTTGCTCAAGGCTAGCGCTCTACCACTTGAACCACAGCACCACTTCAGGCTTTTTTGGGGTTTTTTTAGCAGCTAACGGGAGACGAGAGTCTCACGGCCTTTCCCGCCTGGGCTAGCTCTGACCGTGATCCTCTGGTCCCTGCATCCTGGGTAGCTGGGACCACAGGTGTGGTACCGGCTTTCAACCCATGTACGTCTCTGAGGAGGGCGCCCTGGGGCCCACGCTGCCCGGCCGGCCCCGTGGCCGCGGGCCTCACCTGGGGCTTCAGGTGATGGAGTTTCTCGACGGCAGCCAGCGAGGCCACGAAGACGGCGGGCTGGCAGTGCACGGTGCGGTCCAGGTCCTCCTGCGGGCCGTGCAGGCTCAGCTCCAGCAGGTCGTAGCCCAGCACGCGGCTGGCGGCCGCGTAGAGCTCGCGGACGCGCGGGTACCCGAGCAGGCCGCGGCCCATGCCCACCGCCTGGCTGCCCTGCCCGGGGAAGAGCAGCACGGAGCACCG